GACCACTTTAGGCTCAGTCTCCCTTCCCCTCCCTTCCCATTCCTCTTCTCCCCTTCCCCTCCCCTTCGTTCCTTTCTATTTATTTATTTACATTTTTTTCTTTTGGGAGGCATATCCTGCTGCCATGGGTGTGGGCGGAGGTCAGAGGACAGCTTGTGGGAGACTGGTCTCTTTTTCCACTGTGTGGGTCCTGGGGAATCAAACTGAGAGAACACAGGTGGTCAACTTAGTGCTGTGCACTTTCACCTGCTAAGCCATCTCTCCTTTCCCCTCCCCCCCTTTTCTTTTTTGGACAAGATAGACCCATCCATTTGTCTTCTAACTCTTGATCCTCCTACTTCTACCTCCCTAATGTTGCAGTGACAGGTATGTACCACCACACCTAGAAGTTTCACTCACTTTCTGTCTTTTCTTTCTTTCTGTCTTTCTTCCTATCTTTTCTTTCTTTCTTCCTTCTTTCCTTCTTCCTTTTTTTTGTTTTTTTGTTTTTTGTTTTTTTGTTTTTCGAGACAGGGTTTTTCTATGTAGCCCTGGCTGTCCTGGAACTCACTCTGTAGACCAGGCTAGCCTCGAACTCAGAAATCCGCCTGCCTCTGCCTCCCAAGTGCTGGGATCAAAAGCGTGTGCCACCACCACCCAGCCTGACCCATTTAAAGCAAGTGATTTGATTACTTTTTGTAGGAAAAAAAATAAATCAGATTGCTTCTGTGTGTACATGGCTTTGGGTCCGTGCTTTTGCTTTTTAAGTTTCCTAGCCTGAGCTGTTAGCTCATACCTGTAATAATAGCAATTGGAAGACTGAGGCAGGAGCAGTCAGATCAAGACCAGACTGGGCTACATAGTAAGTTTGATGCCAGTTTGTGCTAGATGAGACTGTCAGAAAAAAAGGGGGGGGGAGGGAGAGAGAGAGGGAGAGGGAGAGAAAGGAAAGAAAAAGATGAAGGAGGTGTATTTGTGTACCGAGTTCAGTCTCTTAGTGTCCACTGCAGTGGTTTTAGTGCTCACAGTGGGCTAAACATCACAGTCATCATCGCAGTCAGCCTTAGCACATTTTATCATCCAGAAGAGAAACTCCAAACATTACCTGTTTCAGGGAACCTGGTGTCTGAGAACTGACCACCAAAGACAGCAAGTGCTGAGGCTGACAGGCCAAAAAAGACCACAGACAGATCCAGGATTTCACAAAGTGCAATTTTCAGTGACATAGAGAGAGGAACCTGCCTTAGGCAGCAAGACAGGAAGAGCCCAGGATCAGTCAGGCAGGAGGATGGGTCTGAATGCATTAAGTTGTGCAAAGGTAGCCTTCTACCTACCAAAGTGTACCTGGTCCTCCTTTTAGAAAAAAATTCCTCATGTAATTAATATATCATTTGCTATTTAGGAAACTGTCCAGATACCAGTGACCAGCACAAAATGTTTAGCTGACTGTCTAGTGACTGTCTATCCTGTAGTGTCTGTAATTTCTGCCAGTAGCACTAGTGGACAAAATGACAAGTCATCAATAGGAAAATAGATAAACAGCCAGTGTTAAAGATTCATACACCGATGTTCCTAAAGAGGACCTGACTCCTGAAGAAAGTATACATTTATATTCAACTGAGTGTAAGCTTGTCACAAGAGAATTCAGCTAATACATCTGTATAAAGTCCAGTGGAGGAAACAGGAAAGTAATTACTTCTGAAACCAGGAGGGGATTGACTAGGGAAGGCCAAGAAAGAATTAATTGATGGTAATATCATAGTTTGATGAGGTTTGAATCATAGAAATGTGTGCATCTGTCAAAGCTCACTGAATGGTGTACTTACGATGTCTACAATTTGTGTGTGTTTTACCTCAAGGTGGAAAAGGCTATAGAAAATGTGATTTGATGTAGGAGACCTGAGGACCATGTAAGAGTCAAACCTGACCTTGACTTGATTCCCAATGATTTTTCTTCCCATGCAGATATGATAACTCATAGATTATTAATATAATATTTTATCATCTGTCTTTAAAAATTCATGGCACTTTAACTATTTTAAGGAGTATGTTTCTTTAGTCCTGTAAATATTGTTTTTAAAATGCCATATGAGCTGGATGTGTGACTTAGGGGTCTAAGGCCCTGTGTTATTTAACCCCAGTGCCAAGAGGAGGAGAAAAACCATGTCTTCATTGGTAGGTTAATTGGTAAGTAGACAAAGATTTATGATAATCTAGCCCTTTATTCTGGTTATTTTTTTTAACATACAGAATGTAAATTTGGGTGGGTGGAGAGATAGCTCAGTCAGTAAAGTGCTTACTGTGCAAGCATGGGGACCAGAGTTCACATCACCAGCACCCATGTCAACACCAGGCATGGGCACGTACCTGTAATTCCAATGCTGGGTTGGAGAGGCAGGGATACCTCTGGGGCCCTGCTACTCAGCCAGCTAGCCAAACCAGTGGCCTTAAGTTTCAGTGGCTGTCCATCAACCCCTAGGTCCTCACTTCTGTTTCTCTGATAGGTGCTCACTAGGTAACTGTAGCTTACCTGGAATTCATAATCCTCCTGCCTCAACTTCCTCAGTGCTGTGATCACATCTATGTGCCACCATAACAGATCGTGTATTCTCCTATTTTTCTGAAATTATTTGTCAAATCCAGATTGTGTGTGTGTGTGTGTGTGTGTGTGTGTGTGTGTGTGAATTTCCATGGAATTTTTAAGTATAGAATCATGTCATCTACAGATAGCAATAATTTAACTTTTTCCTTTCTAATTTATATCCCTTTTAGATCTTTTTGAGTGCATATGTACATATGTGTCATATGTATGTGTGTGGATTTGTGTGCATGTGTGGGAGCATATATACTTACCTGTATGTATACATATGAAGATCAGAGGTTGGCCTCGAGTGTCTTCCTCCATCACTTTTGACCTTATATTTTTAAGATAGGGTCTCTCATTGAACTTGGAGCTCATTATTTCAGCTGAGTTTGCTGACCAGTGAGCCTCTGGAATCTGTCTCCATCATGCTGGGATTACAAGTATGTACTGCTCAACCCAGCTTTTTTTTTTTTTTTTTAATGTGGGTACTGAGGATCTGAGCTTGGGTCCTTATGTTTATACAGCAAGCCCTTTGCCCACTGAGCCACTTCCCCAAACCCTAGTTTTAAGTTTTTTTGAGAAGCCTCCACGTTGGTTTCCATAGTGGCTATAATAGTTTACACTCCCTTGAATAGCATTTTTGTTAAAATAAGGAACCGTGGAAGAATGTCTACTTTCTTCACTTTTACTTAATGTAGTCTTAGCTAGAGTAAGATGACAGGATAGAAAGCTTTGAAGCAGGCAATAAAATGGAGAGCAATAAAGAAAGTTCTGTGGCTTCCACAGTGGGTGCACCTACATACTCACGTGAATACACCACACACTACACAAATAAGGGTGCATGCATGTGCCCACACAGAAACACACAAGAAAAAATCTAACTAAAAAGAGAATTTATATATATATGAATGACTGACCCATTCTTGGGCATATACCCAAAGAATTATACTGGCTATTAAGGAGATACTTGCCCCATGTTTTTTGTTACTCTCTTCATAATATCAAGAATAGATATAAAACCGTCTCAGATGTCCATCAACAGATGAATGAATAATGTAATACACACACACACACACACACACACACACACACACATCATAGAATTGTATTCTTTTGTAAAGAAAAATTAAGTTAGGAAATATGCAGGAAATGAATGGAACTGAAAAATATGATTTTAAGTAAGGTAATCTAGACTCAGAAACATAAATTCCACATGTCCTCTTTCACCTGTGGACCCATAGACATGAAACCCACAGATAGAAAGCACAATGAGATAATTCTTATTATCTAAGCTTGGGAAACATTACCCTAAAATAGAGCTAAGGTTCTCAGACTTTCTGAGCATAAAGAGAAGAAAGGAGAAAGGGTGTCTCCCAAGAAGATTTAGAATCCTAGGCCCTCCACTCCTCCCTCACCTGTGGGTCTGGCACAGGGCTGTGGAGTGTGTCTTTGCCCATCCACTATTCATAGGTCTTTAGCCAACCTTCCTAGTGCTGAGAAAGTTCTCACTCCTACAAAAATGGAGTGGGCAAAGAGCTGGGAAGTGTTTACTATGGGAGCAAGAAGATCAGAGTTAAAATCCCCAAAACCCACACATACTAGGTGGGCATGGTGGCCTCTGACTGTGGAGACAGGGTCTTGAGAACAGGCCAGCTATGGAGACTTAGCCTTATTGACAAGAAACTCCGAGTCTCGTTGAGAGTCATTCCCGCAAAAAAGAATAAAGCAGAGGGCAACCAAGATAACTGGCATCACCCTTGGATCTCCTCATGCATACACATTCACACACTCACACGTGCGTACACACTGTGAACACACAACACCCATATATAGACATATGAAGGAGAAAGTTTAAGCAAGGGAAATAGGAAGTGGAAGAAACGATAATTTTAGAATTGAAGGTGGGTCTTAATATTAGACATAACATGGAGGTCTTTGGAGATCCATGGGTAGTGAGGGCCCAAGGGACTGTGAGCATACAGAATTGAAGAGAACATGTGTACATGCCGTCCCATGCCTGTAGGAACCCCCCCTTTATGGTATACCCATTGGAGAAAGGCGTTTTGAGAGTAACTCATTCACTTGCTCTCCAGTGGTGGGGAATGGTCAGGGTTATCCTTCTTGCCTCTAAAACTTGCCTGCATGATACCAGTTGCAAGCTTCATCTCATGGATACTTGGTGCCTATAAACACTCATTGGTTTTTCTTTTTTGTAGTAAGAAGAAAGCATAACTTATAGAGACCATCTTCTGGGAGAAGATGATAGATTTGAATCAGAAAGAGGAGGTGCTGGATGCCAGGAATCTAAAGTGAAGAAGCTCCGCAAGCCCCTGGGTGAGAAAGGAGAAGGGTCGTTTGTGTGCTTGCTGGCTGGCTTGTCCCACATTACAGTTCTGTGCTTACACACTGCAGTGCCTCTTTAGGCCTTAGGCAGCTTCCCCAGTTGGAAGGAGAGGTGGAACAGGAACAGGCTGCAGAAGTGAGTTGTTTTTGAAAACCATTGTAAGACTTTTTTTTGTGGTGTGTGCACCCCATGGTGTATGTGGTCAGAAAACAACTTGCAGGAGTCGGTTCCTCTTCTGTGTGTGTCTCGGCATGGAACTCAGATCATCAGGCTTGGTAGCAGACACTTTTACCCACTAAGCCAACTTGCTAGCCCTGGAGATGAATTGTGACTACATGTTCTCCAAGGTCATATCAGTCAGTGTTTCCTGTCAGCTTCTTGTCTGCCTTCTGTCCTTCTGTCCTCCTCCTTTCTAGGGCTGGGGCTTATTGTAAAATAGAGCATTTTCTTCTTGCTTCCAGGCACCACACACAGTGTTGTGCCTTCCTGACATTACTTCATTCCTTTCTCAAAGCAGCCCAGTTATGTAGAACTGAAGTTCCAAGAGTCTTCCCATGTCCAAAATGGCTAGCAAGTGGTACAACCAGGTTTTAAACCCATGCTTTCTGAGTTTACCTGTATACTTATTACCTCTCTTCCCTTCCCCGAAGAGGGAAAAAGGGAGTGTTCCATTTATATCTTTTCCTTTGTAGCCCAACAGGTACCCTAGCTTGGTGGCCTCTTTTGGAAGGTTCTCTGTATCCTGAGAACATTTTCCCTTTCAAACTCTGGGAAATCAGAGAAGAGAAGGAAGTCCCCATTAGTCTTGCTGACCTTGTACAGCTGCACTCCATGTATTAATGCTTCTGCCTCCAGGCTTTTCCCATTTATGTGTAGATTTCCCTATAGGACATGGGTTTCGAGCCAAGATGTGGTATATGCCCATAATCCCAACATTCAGGAAGCTGAAGCAGGGGGATTACAAGTTTGAGGCCATCCTGGATGACATAATGGGACTGTCTCAAAAGAGAAAGGGCCAAGAGGAAATAGAATGAAGGAAGAAAGAGGGAAATCCATTGTCTTCATATGGTTTTCATGCCCACGTTTTAGTGAGTCTCCATGGATAACTGAGACTCATGGCACTTGGAAGTTGAAGGAAACCTAACTCTGGTTTGTATCTGCTACTTAGAATAGAGTTTGTCCCTTGTCATTTCTGGAGAGGGGTCAGGCAGGGTGTTCTTATCGTTCATGCTGGCCGAGTGCTTTACCAGCTTTACCAGTGGCATCTTACTCTGAAGCTCAAGCCAGTCTGGCACCTGCCATGCCACCCAGCCTGGCCCCAACTCATTGTCCTCCTGTCTCAACCTTCCTGGTGCTGGTATTTCCAGCTCGCGTTCTATTTCATCTACAACACGCAGTAAAGAATGTTTCTGTGGGTTTTGTTTGCTTGATTGGTTTTGTTTTGTTTTGTTGGTATTGAAATAGAATTGCCATTTGGTTTCTCTAGACTCTAGAATGGCTAAACAACTTGGAGTTGAATCTATCTTTTATCCCTTTGTAGATTCCTCTCTCTCTCACCATGCCAGAAATGACAGAGCATGAGACGCCTACGAAAAAGCAGCACAGGTGTGTATCCCCAGCCCCAAATAATATCACATAGGCAGGTAAGAAGCAGAGTGAGTTCCCAGTGTGTGTGTATGGCTAGAAATAGATTTACTAAAAGAGATTCATGTGGCACAAATTTTCCAGTCTTTGTTCTCTCAGAAGCCTGACAAGTAAGAATGGTCTCAATAGTGAAAACGTTATATCAAATCTATGTCACATGTTTGTTTTCTAAGGACATTGTCACTGGCAGACTCTATTCCTTTTGTAGCTCCTGAAACATTTAGATTGTATTTAATTTGTAACATTATAATCCATTAATGATTATATACACAGCATTACTTTTATTTTCTTGTAGCTCCTCTTCTGAGTATCTAGCATTTTAGGCAATGTCTGCCTAGAATTCTATGGCTACTGCTTTTAATAACGTTAAAAGTACTCTAGTCCCTTTCCTTACCAAATAGCTATTAGTGAAAGCTAATCCATTCATTAATTATGCAAAAAGGGAAAGTCAATGTCTTTAGTAGAAATGTTAAGTAAATATAAGCGTTGGATAACCTGAGTACACAGATGGGACGATGGCTCGATGCAGTTGGCACCTAAGTGCTCTTCATATCACGTTTGCCTTGGCGGGAATCGGGACTCGCAGAGCTGCACTGCACGGCTGCTCTGCCTCCACTCGCTCTGCCTCCACTCGCTCTGCCTGCAGCTCCCTCAGCAGTTCACAATGAAATTACATGTTCAAGCAGTGATTCTATTCTAAGCATATGATTTCTGGGTATCAGTAGAGAATTGTTCTTGCTTTTCAAAATTATATCTATTAAATGTATTCAAAAGTATCTGCATTAAGGTTTTCATGCCATGATATCCACTAAGTAATTCCTAATTGATGTAATAAATATAATTTTATACAATTTGTTTTTATGAGTTATGAAAATTAAAAAATGCTTTTCAGTTATCTTTCTGTTACCTGTCTTTTGTACTTTCTGTTTCAGAAAGAAGAACCGAGAGACACACAATGCAGGTATGTACAGTGACTTGAACCCTGCTGGAATCAATTATGGCATGGTTTTTATGTTGTAACATGGAATTATTTGTTATATTTTAGAAAAGGCAATTTTATTGTTTTTATTAACAGAATATTCCCAGAGCCTCATGATGCTGACTGCATAACATCTGCTTTGCAGCCTATTTTGGATTTGTTATGAAATTCGAATATTTTGGGGGCTAGTGTTGAAAGGTTTCACCCAGGACACTGGAACAATGAAGGTTATGTCTTCACACGTTCCGGAAGGGCAGCTCCCTGAGGAAGGAAGGCATGAGCAGTGGGCTGTTTGCATATGGCAGTCTTCCTTCTGAGACAAAGTCTGTGTGGCCTGAAACTCACAGAGATCCACCTGCCTCTGCCTCCTGAGTCCTGGCATTACAGGGTTATGTCATTATGCCTAGTGTATGTGGACAATATTAAGTTATATAGACTTCTATCATAGAAACAAATGTATAAAATAAATACAATCTTATCGCTAATGTTAGATTACAGGCCATAGCCAGCCAAGTGTATAGTGTTAATTGTGTCTCCATTTTCACTTAGGCATATTATATAGCATTTTATTTTGAGTCAGCCTCACATCTGTGGTTATAGCTATTCATAAGGAGAGAATCTCTGGGAAGTTTATCTATAAAGATATATTGAATGCTGGTGGGATGAGTTTATCACCTTTGAAATCCACTCAGATAACAATGAGCACCACTGTTAGAAAATTAAGACTGGCAATCAATTATTAGAAAAGAAGACATTAAAAGATAGCCAAGAGTAATTTACTACTATGTGTGTGTTAATTTTTTTGTGTTAATTTTTTATTATTTTTAATTATGTGTGTTTGTTTTTACTTTGAGCATCTTATAGAAATTATTTAAATGAACTCTTTGGTATTCTTATTTGTTTTAGAGTTTAAGCATGTCAGTCTGGAACATTCTGGCAGTTAATTAACAAGTTGTCAGTTGCCTTGTACTCTGGTTTTCATTTCTGTTGCCATAATAAAATATCCTGACCAAAAGCAACATGGGGAGGAACAGATTTATTTGGTGTACAATTCCAATTTGCTGTATATCGCTGAGGGAAACTCAAGGCAAGGACTCAAGTAGCAATTCACAAAAGCAAAGAAACAATAAATACATTCTTGCTTGTTTCCATCTACCTTTCTCTATTCATATACCATTCAGGGTCTCTACCTAGGGAATGGAGTCACCCACAATGGACTAGGTCTTACTACATCAATTTGCAGTTAAGACAATTCCCCATAGATATGACCACAGCTCCTTCTATTCCATAAAGGCCTAGTCATCATACAGTAGGCATTTTAAGGTTCTTAAAATTTAAAGAAAGGTCACATTTGCTAAAACAGAGGCAGCTTTTTGGTAACTTATTAGTGGTTTCTTTAAATTTGGTTGTGGGCTGTTGTGATGGCTCAGCAGGTGAAGTGGCACCATGCAGGGCAACCTGAGTTTGATAACTGGAATGGACATGTTGGAAAGAAAGAACTAATTTTAGCAAGTCATCATCTGACCTCCATGTATGTGCTGTATATACACACAGACACACACACACACACACACACACACACACACAAACACACACAAATAAATAAATACATATAAAAGTGAATTAAAAAAATAAATTTGTTTATAAATAAATCTTTACTACTTATTTGAATTATAATGGAAAGAGGGCCTAATAATAATGCATTGTTAACAGTTCCTTTTTTATCATTTTTTTTTATGTGTGTGGGTGTTTCACCTGCAGTGTGTCTATGCACCAGCCATGTGCTGAGTGCCCTGGGAAGCTAGAAGAGGTTGGTGAATCCCCTTAGACTAAAGTGACAGATGGTTGTGAGCTGCCATGCAGGTGATGGGAGGCAAACCCTGGTCCTTTGGAAGAGCAGCCAATGTTCTAAGTCACTAATCCATCTTTCTAGTCCTTTTTATCATCTTAATGTAGTTATTATTTATGATTTTCTTTACAACACTTATAAAAGTGATATATTTATTTTCATAACATTTGACTTAGAATACTACATTCTATAAAACCTTATGTACAACTTTAGTTAGAATTGGTAAATAATGATTATTGGTTTAGGATTAAATTTCTTTTCCTGTGTCCATACTAGGCTGGTGCTCTGCCACTGAGCTATAGACCCCCCAGCCTCTTCCACATGAGATTCCTTTACCAACAATTCCTTTGCCCAAGTAAATTGAACAGTTTGGCCTAGTAGTATAAAAGTTGATAATATGTTTTTCTCTGTCTAGTGGAGAGGCACAGAAAGAAGAAAATCAATGCTGGGATAAACAGAATAGGAGAGCTGATCCCATGCTCCCCTGCTCTGAAACAGGTAGGTGCTCCCTCCTCCCCCAGCTCTGAAACAGG